TAAGTGCAGGTACACCTGAACAACTAAATCAAGAACCAAGGCAATAACATTAGTTTTTGAGTTTGATGTTCATGATTATGATGTTCATTACTTAGATGGTTATAAAGGTGGATCTGTTTAGGCATGTAGGTATGTACTGCAGTGAATATATTTACAGCATATATAGGCATGCGAAGTTTACCGTTATTATAGTTGTTTTTACCATTTTAGTAGTTATCTTTTACTGAATATATACAGAGTCATTTTTAAATAAAATCTCTTTTATAAGTCTAGTCGCAAATCTTTCAGGGTGCAAATGGTGCAGCACGAGATGAGTTGCTGTTACAAATTGATGTACCTGTTATGTTCGTTCAGGTAAAAGCACTTTGTTGTAGATGGATCCGTATCACATGGACAAAACGGTCCATCTTTCCAGGCTTATTTGTTAGACTGACATTATTTTTTAATAATACGCACAAGAATGGACACACATTAGCTAAATCTGAATTGCTTACAGATGGGCTATATGCGTACTTGTATCTGTGGGGCTGAGATATACATTTGAATCGACATATATGCATACATAAATATGTTTCATTATGATTTTTTTTGACTGCTTTTGTGCACTCATTGCTAATTTGCTAGGTAAAGCTAACTTTGTTATATTATTCACAGCTCAATCAGTCGTGTTTTCTCAGCCATTACTATAATATCATAAATTATGTTGCTTGGGAGTTGGGAGGGGGTGATGGTGCTAAGTGTAAACTTATTCATGCTCGAGATTTTGTATAAATGTTATGGCTTATTTTCATGTAGGGTAGCAAAGATGGGCTTTGTCCACTCAAGAAGCTGGACGCTGTAAGAAAGAAAATGAAGTGTGTTAATGAATTATATGTGATAGACGGTGGTGATCACTCCTTCAAAATTGGCAAAAAGCACTTGCAGTTGACTGAGTCCACCCAAGAGGAAGCTGAAAAGCTTGCTGTTCATGCTATTGCAACTTTTGTTTCTAATCATGTGAAAGAGGGGTGAAGTGCTTAATGGTTAGAAACGGTTGATAGTTTAAAATATTTTGTCCAGTTTGCGCAAAGATGATTCGTGAATGCTTCCTTGTAGTGTATAGGATATTTCCTTTAGTTTTTGGAAGGGGGTGGGGGAGGGGAGTTTCTTATGGCATTGTTGTAGCATATCTACAAATGTTGCTCCCTGTGAAGTATTACTAGTAATTAGTATCTGAAGCTTTGGCCTCTAGTTCTTTTGTCCACCTCAAGAGTATCCTGTTTGTCTATTTCTATGATTTCATTACTTCAATGCTCATTTTCATCAGTGGTCCAAGCTTCTGTATGACAAATGTGGTATATACTCACTTAAAGAAATAGCAAGTTCCTGTACGTTGTTTCTGAAAATTTGTTTGTGGTTTTGGTTATAGCCAAGACGTATGGCCATTATATGTGCAACCCCGTTCATAAGGATTTCTATGTTTTCTATAAGCTTTGAAAAGAAAATAAGTGGTCATTCACCATTATTTGTGCAACCCTGTTCATAAGGTATTTTCTCACCACCCATTTTCTTTTTTGGTTTAAGTAATGCTAATAAGTATGCGATTATATGGTCATATTGGCTTATTAATGGAACAAATCTTCTTTCTTCTGATTGCTAAAATTCAACATTGAATTTTTTCATTGCATAATCAAAATGATAAACACTTACTAACATGACACATCATTCCACCATTTACGTATAAGAAATAATGATGAAATATGCCTTATTCAAGTTGCTTTCATCCTTGCACTTCTTGTAGCTGATCCTTCGCAGGACTCCTCTCTTAGTTCTTCACACCAAAAACAAGAATTTTAGGTTGTAGTAAAGAAAAGTTTTGATGTGCTCTGGTTATGGGCTCAAAAGTAGGAAAACATATATTTATAAATTTCAAGACATGTTACTTCAGAAAAAAACTTTGTAGTCGTGATCATAATTGCAAGTGAAGTATCCTACTAGGCTTATATGAAGATAAAGGGATATTAACACAATTGTCTTCTGAATGATTCGTAAAAGATTGCAGATCATACCTTCTTCCTTCCACACTTTTCATTATCACTGTCATCACTGCTGCTGCTGCTGTCACTGAACTTGTATTTTTCTTGTTTGTTCTTCCTCATAGGCATGCAGTGGCCTTCCATCTTTTTCTTTCCATTAGTTGTAGTATGGTTAGCATGAGTTGCACAGGACGCATGGCAGACAGGCTGACCTCCTTTTTGGATGTGTGCTTTCTGGCCCTGTTGAGTATGATGTTCACGGTGAAACATTTTGTGTGACATTTCTCTCATTTTTTCGGCGAAAGAGTGGTTCTCATTGTTTGTCTTTTGGACTGTCGGGGTGCTATTCTTGTTGGACACAGGTTTTTGGCTAGTCGGAGTGTTGGTCTTGTTGCAAACAGTCTTTTGACTTATCAGAGTGTTGGTCTTGTTGCCAACAGCCTTTTGGCTAGTTGGAGTGCAAGTCTTGTTGCTCACGGTGGAGGATTGAACATGATTAATGTTTTGCTCAGTGGGCTTGTTACATTGAACTGATGCCATGAGTGATTGAATTGAAACTAAAGATATTGTCTTCTGGACTATTGCCTTCTTTTTGCTTGATATTCACAGAATGATTGATATATATCTATTATATATATACATGTACGCAATAGAAACATGAATTAGTGGTGGGATTCTTTTCTTATTTTTCATCAGTTGTCCTGTCATCTTTGAATCTCCTTTTCTGCCAAAGGCTAAACTTTGAAGAGCATCTCATTCTATTTCCTAGCCAATTATTTTTCTTATGTTTATATTCCAAATCCTTCTTTGAAATATTAAACGTGTCGGTTATCAAAAACAAAAATATTTCAAATCCTTCAGCTGATCTTTTGACCGCATCCACCACACATATATTGTGCTTCACGAAGAAGAGGTAATGTAGACGATGAACTGACCTTTTGGCTTTTATGAAAATTCCAGAAAGAATAAGACTGGTTGCCATCCTTTTGAGATTCCCCTATCTTTTCTTCCTCCTGTTTCATTTGAAAAAATACAAGTAGAAATTGTTCTGTTCAGACTTAAGAGACTTCAAATACAAAACAGAACCAAAAAGAAAAAGGAAATGCTGGAATTATTTTGCTGTTTAAATGTTGAAAATTTGATGCCCTAATAATGTAATGATTTCCTTTAGAAGGATCGAAGTGTAAATTTTGAGAGAAGCAGTGCTGAAACTTATTTTCATCCGACTAATAGATGAAGGTGAATCAAGATATTATTTCTATAGAAAGCATGAAAAAATTATTAATCATTAATCAAATTTGTAAATAGTGAATATTCTCTGGTGTTCTCATTTGAAGGTCACTAGCTGAGAGTTGCGGAGGGTAGTCGACATCTTTTAGGTTTGAACTATGGCTAGAAATGATCACCTTCACAAGAAGGTTCAAGTAGCACACATCGAGGATAAAATGAGAGAAGGTCACTTGAGATGGTTTGATCATGTCCAGTGCTATGAGCAGGTGTGAAACCATGGGATGAAGCCTGAAGGTCTTAAAGAAGGACGAGGTAGCCTTAAAATCACATAAAACGAAGTTGTCTCTCGGACCTTCAGTATTTGGGATTCTTAGTAAAAGATAGGCAATATAGGTGTTATAGTTTAGTTGAGAATATGTTTTACATGTTTGCACTTCTGTTCTAGGTCTTATGCTTTCTAGGAGTGGTTTAACCTTTCAGAGATCTATACCTTTAATTCAAAAAGCACACACAACTTGTATGCTTTTTACTTGTATTTGCATAGTATTGGCATGAGATGATTTAAATGAAATAAAGCGGTAAGTGAGGATTCATATAGCTGACCCCAACTTTCTTGGAATTGAGGCGTATTAGCAGTTGTTGTTGTTATACCCCTAGGCTCCAGTAAAGGTTTTTTATGTAATGTACTAGATTCTTGTTCTCTCTATCTCTGCTCTCCATCTCTTTTGGTTTGGGCTTTATGAACATAGGCATTCCTTATTTTGTTGCTAAATATGCATAGTCCACCAGGCCTTCATATATCGGCCAGAATTTGATTAGTTTCAACATACTTTCTCTTCATTGGTTAGGCTGGACCCGACAGAGGCAAATTAAGAATTGAACTTAATGGGTTCAAAACTCTTTCAAAAATATGAGTTTAGAACTTAATATTTATGCTGCTTTTTCAAGTTTTTTCACAGATACACATATTTATATGGTTTTAGTCAAGAATGGTGGGTTCAATTGAACCCATTCTTAAAGCTTGTACGTCTGTCCCTGGGTCTGGATGGTGCATCCGTCTCTTTTGTGTATCTCATTGCATTTTTCTTTTGGATTTAATGATCATCTGGTTTCTGCTTTTATTCCTCTAAAAATGCAATAGGATCAAAGCCTTCAAATATCTGATAGAATATACTCTATCTTTTACTTATACGTTCATGAGTAGTCTGAATAGGTTAAGCAAACAACAACATACCCAGTGTAATCCCACAGAGTGGGGTTTGGGGAGAGTAGAGTGTACGCAGACCTTACCCCTACTTTGGAGGTAGGGGCTGTTTCCGATAGATCCTCGGCTCAAGGCAAAACTGCCTGAACAGTTATGCCTTTCTTTTATTTTCATTTTGCATTTTAACTAATTTTTTTATTAGTTTCTGGAGTTCCCAGGATATTTTGAGCATTCTTCTTAGTTATTATCTCATTTGAATGGTAGAAAGAAGATAAACTTGCTTACTTCTTCTTCAAAAATTATATTCGTCAGCTTTGAAATCCTGAGGTGCTATTACTGGAAAATTGTTTCCAAATGCTGGAGAAAATGCTCATTCCATTATAATTGACTCTTTCTTTCCTCTATCCTTGCTCTCTTATTATCGGTTCATACTGATTCCATGATATTATGTGCAAATATGTCTTTGCTCATTGTTTGTTCATTTCATTTTCCACCATGAGGCAATATCGATTACTTTACCCCCAACCCCCCAAAAAAAGAAGAGAAAATACTGATCTCACAAGTTTATTTCATTACTTGAAAGGCCATAGGTAATAGGTACAATAGAAGTATTTGCATTTATTCATGCAGCACACCGGACTCTTTCAGAGAGACACACACATAGCAAGCACCCTTTAATTAAAGTACATAATTATTGAGCAACAGAAGTTTATTAGTGGTATAGCTTCTGTCTCTTACTCACTTGATTGTTGCAGCTTACTTCTTCAGCAGCTCTCCTTCTGCAAAAGCAAAATTACAATTTAGGCTTCAAGGTAAATTAGGTAACTAGTAAAGTTGCTATCTTTATGAAACTGAGTATTGTGAAGGGTTACACTAACTAATTCAAGATCTGTTCCCTTTCACAGTTTGTGGATGTCCAGGTTTTAGATCAATTTTGTGAAATACTCCCTCCCTTTGTTTCAATTTGTTTGTCTTATTCTACTTTTTAGTCCGTTGCAAAAAGAAGGTCTCTATAATTCTAACTTTCCACATAACATATTTAAGACCACAAGATTAAAGGGCATTTTGGTACATTCAACATATCTTTAGCTTAAGACCTCAAGATTCAAAAGTCTTCATTATTTTCTTAAACTCTATGTCAAGTCAAAACCAGACAAACAAATTAAAACGGAGGGAGCATTTAACATTGAAATCTATTTTTTTTTTCTTCTCTATTGTCAGTGCCCATCAGATTATACAGAAGCAATAATAGACAATAGGTTATATTTAGATGATACCTTCTTCCTTCCACCGTTCTCATTGTCGCTCTCATCATCACTGCTGCTGCTGCTGTCGCTGCTGTCACTGCCATCTCTGCAGTGTCCATCTTTGTTCTTCTTTTTCCTGATGGTCTTCAGCTGACTACCTATCTTATGCATGATGCCCCCTTCCTTCTTTGAGCCATGGCACACAGTCTGCTGGTTGTGGCTACCATGACTTCCGTGCATAGCAGTGGAGCCATGGCCTGTTGAATGTTGAGTTTTGGCGCCATGGCATGCAGTGATCTGGCCCTTAGCATGATTTCCATTAGTAGCAGTGGATCCATGGCTTGCTGAATGTTGAGTTTTGGTGCCATGGCATGCAGTGTTCTGGCCCTTAGCATAATTTCCATGCCCAACAGTGGAGCCATGGCCTGCTGAATGTTGAGTTTTAGCATCATGGCATGCAGTGTTCTGTCCCTTAGCATGATTTCCATGCATAGCAGTGGAGCCATGGCCTGCTGAATGTTGAGTTTTTGCGCCATGGCATGCAGTCTGCTGGCCGTGGCTACCATGATTTCCATGGATAGCAGTGGATCCATGGCCTGCTGAATGTTGAGTTTTGGCGCCATGGCAGGCAGATTGCTGACCATGGTTGTCGTGGTGCAACATCTTGGTTGTCATCTCTTTCATTTTGTCAGCCAAAGAGTGGTGCTCATTCGCCTTGTGGCAATTGGCAGTGTTGGTGGTTTTCTGGCAGACAGTTTGTTGTGCAACTGGCTTTTGGCACTGAAGTGACGCCATTGATATTCGTCAGAAACTGAACAGAAAACGACTCTTGGTATTTGAGTTCTAGTTTCTTATGGCTCTCTTACTTGATATGGCCAGTCATATGGCATCTATTTATACTAGTTTTGGTAGTGAAAATTCTTCTCTTTTAACACCTCACATCACTAGCTCTTATCATTTTTGAATATTTTTTTTGTCAGGTAAAGCTTTTTGAGTGAGCCTTTATTCTATTCCTTGAGATAATTGAGTTATCTGTTTATTGTTCTATTTTCTGAACTTGGACAATTCTACATATTTGGAACTATAGTAGCTGGAAGAAAACTCTAGACGAGTGAGCATGTGGCCTCGGATTTGATAATTCAACTACGTCTCAATCACAAACATGTTGGAGTGTGTTGTGTGAATCATAATTTATGGCTTTTGTTAATTCTTCCGGAACCGGACTATATGAAACTTAGAAATGTTAGATTTATTATATATGTATTGTACGTATGAATCATAAATGCACAAACTTGTTGGGTGTATATAGTGTTGTTTACTAGCAACAACATAACGGAGACAGTCACGCAATAATCAATGAGAAAGCGTGGTAGTATTTTTTTCTTTCTCTAGTAGCTAGAGTATATTTCAATATTATATAAGTAGGAAATATGTGCTACTTGCAAAATTTGAAATAACTTTATTCTATATGCGTTTCCATTATTTGTTGTCTAATTCCTATATTCTTTTCTCTTTTCCACATATAATAAATAAACAAAGGGCAATGAAGGGCTACTTGCATATACATTTTGGTGATTATATACTCTAGATTGATAACAACAAGGGTGAATTAGAAGAATGATCTTGGAGATGGATGGTCTTGAACTTCTGATCGCAGTAGTCCCATAGATAATACTTCAAGTTTTGACTTTTAATTTGACCGCAAAGGTTCTTACATAAGGCAAGTGAGGTCAAAAGTTTAATACCGCCAATTTTCAAAGTCATTGGGTCTAATTTGGACATGTTGGGCTAAAGCAAGAGTTGTCACATAAGCCCATTGCAATGGATGGTCCAGTATGAAAGTCCTGGCCCAAGATAAAAAATACCTTGGGCCATTTGCACTTTTGCTTCTATTTTGTGTTTGGTATTTAATTTTTGCTCCTCGAGGCAAATACTTTCTCGTGGAGCTAAGTTTATATATTCACATCATAATATCTCACAAGTTATGTTTCATGTCCTTGTGATAATTGAGTTATCTGTTTATTGTTCTATTTTCTGAACTTAGACAATTCTACATATTTGGAACTACAGTAGCTGGAAGAAAACTCTAGACAAGTGAACATGTGGCCTAGGATTTGATAATTCAACTACGTCTCAATTGCAAACGTGTTGGAGTCTGTTGTGTGAATCATAATTTATGGCTTTTGTTAATTCTTTCGGAATCGGACTTGGTCAATTATTTTTGTTGCTAACTATGTGAAACTTCGAAATGTTAGATTTACCATCTTCAATCACAAACTTGTTGGGTGTAAATATAGTGTTGTTTACTAGCAACATCATAATGGAGACAGTCACTCAATAATCAACGAGAAAGCTTGGTAGTATTTTTTTCTTTCTCTAGTAGCTAGAGTATATTTGAATATTAAATAAGTAGGAAATATGTGCTACTTGCATAATTTGAAATATTTCTGACTTTATTCTATATGCGTTTCCATTATTTGTTGTCTAATTCCTATATTCTCTTCTCTTTTCCACATATAATAATAAATAAATCGAGGGCAACGAAGGGCTACTTGTATATACATTTTGGAGATTATATATCCTAGATCGAGAACAACAAGAGTGAATTACAAAAATGATCTTAGAGATGACTGGTCTTGAACTATTGATCACATTTGTTTGGTAGATAATACTTCCAAGTTTGACTTTTATTTGACCGTGTAGGTTTCCCCGTAGATCATGTAAGGTCAAAAGTTTGAGACCACCCACTTTCAAGCTCATCATAATTTCCCGTAGTTGGCAGATGTTTTGTTGGGCTAAATCATGAGTTGTCACGTAAGCCCAGTGCAATGGATGGTCCAGTATAGAAGTCTTGGCCCAAGAACTTATATGTGTTGGGTTATTTGCACATTTAGCCATATTTGTACTGGTATTTAATTTCTACTCTTCAAAGGCGTTTATATTTCCGCATTATAATATCTCATAAGTTATGTTCCGCATCCTTAAAGAACTTATGCCCCGTTAGACGTAAGTTCAATTGTTAAGAACAAAACTTAAAGACCAACCCATTTGAAGGGCAAATCGGCAAAAGAATTTTTCACTTCAAGAGCTCGAAAACTGAAAACTCTAATTATAAGTCATAACATACTGAGGTATATAAAGCAATCTCTAACAAACATTCAGTCCTAGCTCTTACTTTTCTTTCTTCTTTTTTTCTCTTGGAATGGCCTTCCCAAATTCCAATTGAGGTTTATTAGTATGCAATGTTTACAAATCTCATAATTGAATGATTTTTTAATACTTTTTTTTTTTTTTACAAACTAAATTGGAGAGTAAGAATAATCAACTTGACAACAGTCAGTCAAAAAGCCACTGAAATCCAAACTCATAACGATATAGTCAAACTTGAGTCTCTTAGAGGCCATTTGTTGGAGACATTGCATTATATAAATTGAAAAAATAAAATTGACTCACTCGACAAGATGGGCTGCAAAACTATTGCTATACTTTCTTCGTTTCAAATTATGAGTTAGTATTTTTCTTTAACATGTTTCTTAGAAATTATAAATTAAAAGATTTTTTAATATTATTTTACTATTGTTGTGTTTTTAATAAACAGTCTCCACCATGATATGTGTTTCCTATTCAAAAGATAAGAGAACAATCTTTCTCCCAAAGTTATCGAGTCATTTTGTTGAGTTCCTCTGACATAGTTCTCTCAAGTGTCCTAATACACTCTAGTTGTTGTAGGTATGGGGGAACAATCAATTCACAAGGAGGAGCATTTCAAAGTATGGGCCAAAGATAATACATTTTCACTTTGTCTCCCGAGATCCACCACAAGTTGAATTTGAGAGTCATGTGATGGCTGACTATCTAACACGGTTTATAATACTTTTAGTGAACAAAAGCCCCCCTTTATCAAGCTTTTATGTCTTAATAAAAACATAATTTTCTTCATTGATTTGTTTGGTTTATATGCTTATATCATCATGATTAAGGTTTTATAGTTTTCAAGAGCAATTACGACTAAGAATAAAATGAAAAAAATCAATTGTATCTTGAACTTTAAAATAACAATTAATAATTGAAACTTGAAAGAGGAAAACAATAGTATACTAACACTTAAAATCCGAGGAATTTTCTTAATTGCAACATCTAGAAGTTCTTGGTTCATAATTTTTGAATTTTCAAACCTTCTTTATCTAGACAATATTAGTTAAAAATAGAAAAGAAAAAAAAATTGAATAGAAAAAATTAACTCATAAAAGCATGACTCGTCCAATCCATCCAAGTTTAAACATGCATAACACTACCCTTTTATTATTAGCTTGACCTATATTACTGATTCGTTCAATTCAATCTACCTAAAATCTAGTTTGATATATAGCTCAAACTAATCCCCTACGAAAGTCAAAATAATAAGTATTCTTCCATTCTCGATTAGTTTTACTTCTTCGAATAAAACTTATATTACAAATACAAATCTGAATTAATCGAATCCTAAATAAAATATCGAACATCAGATAAAGGCCAAACCAAAAATAAAATAAAAATTGCATTGAAGTAGAAAAGTGCATTGGAAGACCTAGAAGGTCCAATAATAATAATAATAATAATAATAATAATGAGATAATAGTATTTGGATTATTGGATATATTGAGTAATTATGTGACACTCATCTTCATCACTTAAATTCTACCCAATAGAAAAAAAGAACGCGCAATTGAAATGTTTGTATATATTCATTCTTTGTCTTTTTCTTTGTCCCCAAACCACACAATCCTCTAAATATTTTTGTGTTCTTGGTTTCACACCTACAACAACAACGACGATAACGCCACGACATATTTAGTGTAATTTCATAAATAAACTTCAAAAAAATAAATTATATGTATAAACATAAAAAAGATGCATTGAATGATATGTTATTCGATTTAGACCTGACTAATTTATTTACACTTGAAATTTCATTTTAAAAGAATGAAATAGTACTTATCACTTTACTGTAATCGGTCAGGTTTTTGATCCTTTAAACTCAACCTCTGACTTTATAATAATGACAACTTTTTTCTTATCAACAACTTAATTATTAACGTCAAAAAATATGGCCAAATCATCAAATGGACCCCACTTTGGTAAGTTTGAATTGGTCATACATTTGACTTTACTAATTTCTAGATTAACAGCGTTAAGCCAATAATGCATCATGTAGATGTGATGTGAGAGAAAGAAATATAAATTCCAGTCAAATTCCAAATACATAATTAATTAGTTTATTAATTAATTATATACTCAATTAATTTCCTAATCACTAGTATTTCATGCAGTATTATTAGAGATTCAATTCAACTCATTTGGTCAAACATGATTAAGGAATTAGAATTAGAGTGAGGTGAAAGGCATAGATTAGTGCTAAATTAATATTGTTGTCTAATTATGGTATGTCTTAATTAATGAGTTGCTTTTACTAATTTTGGGGTTTTCTCATGCTAAATAGGGATGATTTTATAGGACAACATGCTTTTTTGGAATAAAAAAAAAACTCAAACATGAGATAAACAAAAACGAATCAATTCATTCAATTCTGTCTAAGTATCATAGAAAGTCACTAAGTATTTATATTATAATCAGAAAATTATTTCGACGTTGTCTATGTAAAATGTCTATTTTATTGCATCATAATGACTTTATTTGATATTTAAGCAAAACTGAATGATTTTTTTTTTTGCTACAAATAATAATTAATTAATACAATAAAGTGATAATCAAGACATAGAATGATCCTTAACTTGAAAACGAATGTGATTTTCTCTACGAAGAATCAAGATTTTCATCACGAAATCATAATCAAGACATAGGATGATTCTTAACTTGAAAACGAATGTGATTTTTCTTACGAAGAATCATATCATCACGAAATCATAATCAAGACATAAAATGATCCTTAACTACGAATGTGATTTTTCCTACGAAGAATCATATTGCATTATTGCTCAAGTTTGTTCTGATCTTGAAGACAATATAATAAAGCACTAACATAAATATTAACAATCATTTGTCAGCAATTATCAAACACCGAATGTAAAACAAAAAGAAACTCAAACTTAATGTGTCTTTCTCATGAAATATCATCCCATCACTTTCCCTATAGAAAAAGTTGGAGATCATAACAAATATTAAAATTCAATTTTTTGTGGACATGGAGATTATGAAAGCAAATACATAAAAGAAAAAAAATAGAAGATAATGTAGAAAGAGATTTATAATTTATTTAGTTTTTTTTTTTTTCAAGTTTGAATTGGTCAGCATTTGGACCTTGTTCACTAAAACATTTTCACTTGAAAAAAGATTTTATGACCAAAGACTGGTCTAAAAAAAAAAAAAACTCGTTTTCCACGGTCAACTTTCAAACTATATTCCACTTCAACACTCACTTTTTTTATAAAAAAAAATTAATTTATAATTTATTTCTCCACATGTCATTTCCTTTTAAATTCAGCTGTTTCTAACTCATTTTTTCCTCAAATCATTCTCTTAACAAATTCCCAAAAAAAAAAAAAAAACAGAAACTTCTCTTCTCCTTCTTCAGAAACTTCTAAATTTCACTACATTTTATTTATGTAAAATAACCATAAACACCTTAAATTATTTTCACTAGCCACTTATTTTCAAGATTACATTTTTAATCTTGAGATTTATTTTTTCTTCAAGAAAATGGATTGTGGATTCAATTGTGAATATAATTCATTGATCAATGAATTAACACAAGGATTGGAACATGTTAAGCAATTAAGAGCTTCAAATAAAATTCAAGAATTGGATTTTCATTTGCAAATGATTCTTTCTTCATTTGAAAAATCATTGTCAATTCTTAATTGGACTAGTGCTTCAGTAACACAAACTCCACTACTTGTAGCACCACCTGAATCATCAATTTCTGTTGATGAAAATCCTAAAAGTGATGATCAAGATTTCATATATGTTTCAAAGAAAAGGTTAGAGGATTTTTCGAGTCAGCTAATAGTTGCTATCTCAGAAAGTCACATGTTTTTGTTGAAAAAAAAAAGGAATCAAGAAAAAAGGCGACTATGAGATAATAATTGTTAGTTGACTGAATATTTGAAATTTGATTTATTTTTTTGAGTTAAATTGATTTATTTTTTTAATGGTTGTTGCAGAAAACAGATGCCTACATGGAGTGAACAAGTGAGAGTGAGTGCAGAAAATGGATATGAAGGGCCTACTGATGATGGATATAGTTGGAGAAAATATGGGCAAAAAGACATTCTTGGTGCTAAATATCCAAGGTGAATATATTCAAGAATTTTACTAAAAAAGGGTACCAACTTTTAAAATATTTTTAGGGGAAAAAATGTAAAATTTAAGTGAAATTTTCAAGATTTCTAGTACCCTTTTGGTAATTTTTTCCTGTAAAGCTGTCGAAACGAGTTGGTTCAGTCAAGCCCAGCTAAGTCCTCAAAGGCTATGAAATTTGAAGGACTAAGACAGGCCCGGCATTTAAAATGTTAGCCCGGCCCGTCTCAAGGGCCGGCAAGCTGTTTAGCCCAATCTAGGCTGTGTTATGGAATTTAACGGGCTAGGATGTGCCATTCATTTGAAACGGCTTGGAAAATACCAGCCCGGCCCAGTCTGTGGACCCAACAAGCTTATTTGGGTGGGGCTTATATCAGCTCAATGGAACTAAACCTTATCCTGCTCAAGTAACAGGCTGGGCTGGGCTGGGCTATTCTAGCCTCGTGAATCAAGCTCATTTTGACGGCTCTACTCTCTTGATAGTACATAATTTAATCGAACATCGTCCTTTGTCCTAACGACGAGATTTCATTATGTTTGCAGGAGTTACTACAGATGCACATATAGACTAATGCAGAACTGTTGGGCAACAAAGCAAGTGCAAAGGTCTGATGATGATCCTGCACTATTTGAAATCACATACAAAGGGTCACATACTTGTAACCAAACTTATAACTGCGCTGCAGCTGCTACACAACCAAAATCACCAGAGAAACATAAACACAAGAAACATGCCAACAATCCAAGAACAACACCATCGAACCAAATGCTCGCGAACTTACAAGCAAATCTGAGAGTGAATACAAACGATTTGGACAAGAAAGAAGCAACATGTTCTTTCCCATTTTCACCAACATTCTCTGGTTTCGTAGACGAAAATCTGCATTTCCAGATGTCACAAGTTGATGACAATTTGGTTGGGCGTTATTCACCGTCTTTTGTCTCTCCTACAACTCCTGAATCAAGTTACTTCTCATTACCAACCTGCCAGATGAATGATTCACAAAGAATTTATAACGTGCACCATTCAGAATCAGACCTCCCGGATTTGTTCTCAGCCAACACTTCATCAACAAGCTCTCCAATTATAGGTTTGGAGTTTCCACTTGAACATGTGGAGCTTGATCCAAATTTCTCAGATTTTTTCAGATAAATAATGTCAAAAAAAGGACAATAAAAAAGAATAGCTTGGATTTTGATCACTCAATTCTATTTTTGTAGTATAGAAGTGCTTATATAAATTAACAAGAAAACTAGCCAAGGGTAGTAACAAGCTATAATATTTTGTATCAATAGCCTAGTATTTTTTTTTTAACTTTCAACCACATTCTTGCAAAAGACTGCCTGAATGTTCATAAATTTGATGAAATTGTATGATCCATGGGAATAACCGAACCACGTCTAGAAAATGCTAGTACCAAGCAACTGCTTCAAAGCCAACGCGATGCTCTCCAGATTATGAACAACATACTTTTCAATAATCTTACAACGAACACGAGTTTTTTTCATATTCAATCAAAACTCTGTATCCCCAATTCTCCATACATACTAAAACAATGGGCTCAAACAAGTTCCAGTATATTAGATGAACATAATCATATTGGGAATTTTTCATATTCCCCCACTTACAATGCAAGGCTCACTTAGCTTTACAAAATGATATGCCTGATGACAAATAGGTAACATGGATAGACCACAGAATCTTGTGTTTCATTGGGTTCTTGCAATCTTGTTCAAGCCTGAATGTGAAAATCACATAAGCAGGCTAGCTAGTGGGCTCTAATGTCGCTTGTTCATGCCAAACTCCGTTCAAGTTGCACTGCCACAAGCGAACTACACCATCGCTTCCAGTAGTAGCAAGTGTCATCCCACTCATGTCCCATTCCATCTGCCATACCTGCACGATAAATATCAAATATGGTAAAAGTAAATGTAAAGTTTTTGTCATCAATCGCCTTAGAGAATTGGCAGATGAGAAAAAATAAAGGTAAGGGAATGTAGGATCACTCAAGACAATTGATCCGTGCGTTAAAACCAAAACAAATAATATCAGTCACTTTACGCTATCAAGAAACTCAAAAATAGTGTTGGGATCTAAACGTGTTAATTGATTTACAAGAACAGCTAAACTAAATAGTGTTGCACTAGGCACCTCACTGTCATGAGTAGAGAGCATTGCAACCTTCTCCACCGAGAGCCTTCCATCAGAGTCTGGATTTGATCCAACATGCCATAATGCAATTTCTTTGCAAGTGGCAACTGCTATTAACTCATACGGCCTGAAAAAGGAAGCTTTAAATTAGAAAGCGCATACAACAAGCTAAACAGAAATTTTTCACTACCGGCAGTGTTTGGCTAAATGGTTTTAAGGAGGATGTTGTCAAGAGCTAACCTTCCAATATTTGGTGCCCATGCAACAGTAGAGACTGGATCAGCTTTATCTGCAGGTAAGGCTAATTCTGCAACTGGAAGCCATCTCTGATGATCCTGATCGAATTCCCAAACCTGTGGAAATCTATGATATGATAACATTACATATGTCCCATCAGAGACCAAATATATTTACAGCTTTTAAGACCATCAAGAGAGTAAGGCTGATAGCAGCTTAAGATTTCAAGAATTACATCTTCCGACTTTACAAATGTCAAAAAGACACGTATAAGTTGCAAACTAGCTGAACTTTTATTCATTATCAACAAGAATCAAAATGCAATAAATTCACTGCCAAGTTTTAGCTAATAAAGAAAGATGATGTAAATAGAACCAATTAAGGATTATAGAACGCAATCCTTAAAGTTAACAGTAAGAAAGGAACTTGCCATACCTTGGAGGAGTTCAGGTGTGGCGTATCGGAATCAAAACCCAAAACGAAGCTTGATTGCTGGATTTCTCCTTTCAAGGGATTCCAAGCAATAGAAGCTGATCGGCATGAAACATTTCCAAATTTAGATACAGATTCAATGACATTCTGAAATTCAGCCTACAAAAAGAGGACTAAAAGTTAGTTTCTCCATTTCTTAGTAACATTCATAATGTGTCATCTTTAAATGCTATCATCATTTTCAGAGTATGTATAGAACAAGTACTGCACCAGAAAGATAAAGCGATATAAATGACCAATAAGGAAGAACATGGCTCATGAGGCAGAAAGTCAAAGAAGCAGAATGTAGATACACACCTGCAGCTGCCAATTCTTCAATTCAAATGGATCTAGGAGCTCAAACACTTTCACTTGGCCATCTGAATACGCAGCAACCTATGTGAAAGAAAATAATGGAAAATGTGATCACAATGACTTTATGTAGTCATATAGACTAAAAGCTGAAAACCAAGAATCACTGGATCAGGCAGTTTTATCTCATCCTTGCCTATCCCGTGAAATTGAAGAAAAAAATAAGGAACATATCATCAGATCTAAAGGCCCATAAATTAAATGATTTGCGAGTAAAATAAAGCAAGACCACAATGTACAGGTATTGGCCACTCTGTTCTGTCACACCTCCATGGGGAACCCACCTAACACATTTAAGTAGCATATATAACACTTTGGCATCTCATATTGCCAAATGCAAAAGAAAGAGTAGGGATCTTTCCTCGAAACTTCAAAAAGGAAAAGAGAAAAAAGAAACTTGGAATACTTTTAACTTAGTACCAATGTGATCTTGTTCTAGAAAGCAATTCATTTTAGGTATTCTAGACGGCATACTTTAGAGCCAAATAACAACAAAAAAAGCAGTACAAATTAGTGTGAACCTATAGTTGCTTTATGTGCCTCCTGATCAACAGCTTGAAGAACTCTCTCAAGTACCTCAAGCATCTTATGACAGAGTTTTACTGTGGGAAGATTGTATCGGGTAACATCTGACCTCGTAGATGTTCCCCTTCTTTCCTTCCAGATGAATTCATTAACTAACCCAATCAACTTTACAAGGAGTTAGGGGAGAAGTCAATGAGAAGAACACTTCGCTTTCACACTCCCAAAAAGAGCTTCAATTTTTTAGACCAGTGATATCGATAAATGCAAGTATTAATAAGCAATAAGCAACTTGGCATTGTAGGTTCTCTGCTATTCAGTTAACAGATTATAAGAGGTGATTTTAACAATTTAAGAACACAAAAAAATAAAAAAAAAGAGTACTGGATATGCTGAAATAAATTTAGATGAGATATAAGGTTTTTAATCAATAAAGGTACATTATTTTAGCACATCACTCTACAAGTAACAAGAAATCAATCCCAATGCTGCAGCAAAGATCAAGAGAAGGGGGAAGTAACATCTCCGTTAAGGGCAAGCAAAAACAACTTTATTTTTCTGGCAGAGATACATTCAACATCTCAGTCAAGGGCAAGCCATAAAGTTTTTTACTATTCCTGCAGAGATGCATACAACAATAGATTGCTTATGACTATTGAGTGATTCGCATCTAAAGCACTATAGACATGAAAGAGAAATACAACAAAATCAGTAATCATAAACTCAAAAACAACATAGATACATCTCTTTGTTCTAATCCCTAGCACCCTGCCACCCACAAGCTATTCAAACAACTGCTATCACATTTCAATGTCAAATCATAGACATTTACGACCAATCTAATTCAAACTCACCAATTTCAGACTTGTTTGGGAGACTCCAAACTGAACATCCAGAACTTGGGATGAGATTCTGTCAAAGCATTTGCACAGCTTCCACTGAAGCAGCTCTGAATCTAAAGAATAGTAACTCATTGTAAGTCTCTAGTCAAATGTTAAGAAAAACAAATGTGAAATTATTGTCAGAAGTAAAATTTGAGAAAGTATTTACAGATAAAATTAAAAAAATTCATAGATTAAAGAAGGACTATGAAAGCAAGTAACTGAATTGAGGATAAGATTAAGATTATAGTTTCACTGATAATATGAAACAGAGATTATTACTAAGAATTTAAGGGAAAAGATTTATCTTCACAATTACTCTTGCCAAACACAATAGAAAAGGAAGAATAAATGCCATAAAGAACCAAAATAATCTTCAATTTCATATTAAGTTTCCTGTTTAGATTTTTTCTTTTTTTCCGATATTTCATAAACATTTGTGGAAAAACAGAGAATAAGTTTACTTTTGCTTCTTTTTCCTGTCTTTAGAGATTCAAAAGAAAGAAACGAAAGATTTCACTCTGACTATCTACTTTCATCAGCAAAACATCCCCATGCAAAAAAGAAGGGGAAAAGGCACACATAACATAATGTTCAGCTTAGCTTCATGACAATAATTTCATCAACAAATGCAGAAGAAATGTGTCCTCACCTTCAACTACCTCCTCCCACAACAACAAACTTCCATCAGCACAAATGCACGCAACTACATCTCCATATTCTGGTGGAGCCCAAACAACTTTTACAATGCTGGATTCATGCACCTAATCAAAATGTCAAAAGTGGAAATGCAATCGCATAGATTTCAGTTCAAGAATCTAAGGCTATTTTATGATCACAATTATTTTTTTCATAGTTAAGCGAAAGAAAAAAATAAATTAAAAGCTTATTTGCTCAGCACTACGTTAGTACTGGAGTTGAAAGTATACAAAAAGGACTAAGCCAGTTACAGTTTTTCTTCCTTTTGAAGTTAGTTTATACAGTTCATCAGTTTTTCAATTTCATACTCAATCCTTAGATTACATTAGAGCAAAATAAAAATGGCTAACTGAGAAAAAACAAGGAATCAAGTTTAACTGATTTGGATTAGTTATGTATTCTGCTTCTAAATAGTTATTCGAAAGTTCAACCTTTTGCCATACAGACCATTAATACTTGCAAGCTTTCTGGACTGTAGTTCGACAATACTACTTGTCCAGTTTTTTCTGCCACTGAAACCTTAGTAACATATACTTATGGTACCTGTTGCCTATACAAGAAACACAAGGAGGACGTGAATCTCTCTTATTACATATGACTTCACATGGAAAAAAAATGTTAACTTCTGCCCCGTTTTACATTTTATTGGCTTCTATTCAAATAGGAGATTCTTGTATGGACTCCAAAGTCTGATATCAAGAGTCAAATGTTCCCTTTTTTTGTTTGGGAATATAATCCTCACTATCCCATCTTTTTTTATGAGGTGGTGCCTGAGCTAGTTTGAGCACAATTCTTACTATTTCCACCAAATATCTCTATCTCCCACCAACACATGTACCTGGTAACTTTGCTCACCAAATGCCGGGATTTGAACCTGAGACCTCATGTTCTACCCGACTTTATCGACCACAAGGACAATGATCCTCACTATCCCATATACCCAACCTCGGATTGATGCATACTTAATTCCTATATGTATAAATAATCTATTGTATAAATAATCTATTCGACTCTTTGGATGTACATTGCTACTACATCAATCTATATCAAAAAATTGTACTTTCCAACACACACAAAAAAAAAAAAAAAAAAAAAAAAAAAAACTTCAAATCCATA